CATGCCAACCTTATTTGCTATTGTGTGCTGTCTGGTTCTGATTCACAGTGACCCTGCAAGGGCAGAGTAGAGCTGCCCCATAGGGTTTCCTCAGCTGCCACACGGAAGCAGACTGCCAGGTCTTTCCCCCTCGGAACCAGCTGATGGGCTAGAATCACCGACCTTTGGGTAAGCAGCGGAGCTCCATGCTCCTTCCAACTGTGGCAAATACGAACCTACTCAACTGGTCAGCATTTGCTGTCTTACTGGCACCGAGTCATAACCAAACCTAAGTTTTGTTGGAATTTTAAAATCATGGTAGAAAATATCTGTGGTCTTAATTTGTCTGACTTTGACTAATGAGTATGACTTAATTTGTAAGATTATGACTAATGAGTGAGCATCTTTTCATGTTTCTTGCCCATTCCTAAATGCTCTTCTGTGAAACCTCTGCATCTCTTTCTCACGCATTATTTTTTACTGGGTTGCCCAATTTTAATGGATTTAGAAAATTTTTTCTTCCTTAATATATCCTGGATAGTATTTTTTAAAAAGCTCTTTCCCAAGTTTGTGGACTGCTTTTCACTTTGTGTTATTGTTCGAGAAACAGGATCCCTTCATAATGATCAGTCTCTTCCTTTATAATTTGAGCTATCTTGTGTTTAATTCTTAATTTCCCTATTAAGAAGTAGGGAAATTCTTCAGAATGCTATTTGTTATTGATCTCTAACTCACTGTTCTGTCGTCAAAGTGCCCTGGTGGCAGAGTGGCTAAGCGCGTGCCCGCAAACCAAAAAGGTCAGCAGTTCAAACCTACCAGCTGCTCCTCAGGAGAGGAGTCTTGATTCCTTAGATGTACAGCCTTGGAACCCCTATGGGCAGTTCTAGTCTGTCCTATAGGGTTGCTGAGTGAGCATCCACTAGACGGTAGGGGGTTGGTTTGGTTTAGAGAACACGTTCTGGCATGCAGACATTTGAAATGTGCTGGGACTCATTTTACAACTGATTTTTGCACACACCCAGTGCTTGAGAAAAAGGTTTGCTCTCTAATAGTCGGGCGGAGGGTTCTACTCCTAATGCCACTAGATCAGGCATGGCAAAACCCTGGTTGAGGCAGGGGTGGTAGTGGTGTTTGGATTGTCCGTGGCTGCTTTCAACCTCATTCAGCAAAGCCGATGTTACTAACACCGGGAGTTTGCCAGCCCCGCACCCACACTTGGTTTTCCACGGTGGTCACTTCCCCACCTGTTTGCTCTCTTTGCTAGGTATTAATGAAAGAGGTATCCCAAAACCATCATGACACACAGCATCTCTCTTCCCGCTGGTGCGCTTATTCCTCCGCCGTGAGGCTTAGTCCTTCAGCACAAACAAGCCTGAAGGGTTCTCCCCTCCCTCCCTCACGAATGCAGGAGTTCTTTCGTCCCTTGCAAATAAAACAGCCCACAGCTGGCCTCGGGATGGAATAGCCCACCAGGAAGTGTGGCTCAACCTTTGTGGTGACAGATGTCTAGTGCACTTCGTTCCTACCACTTCAGGACTGCATTTTCTACTTCACCCCAGTCTTTCCCTGCTTCCCCCCAGTCCCTTCTTCCTCCTGGTCATCATTTGGATGAAGATTCAATGCTTCCAGTTTTTACGCTTACTGAAGTCATAACCCTCTTGAGGGTTCCCCTGAACAGCATAACACGCATTCCTGGACCGAAGAAACTCGCAAAGTCACCTGTTCCCAGCCTCCTCCTGAGCCAGGTAAAGACAACTCCATCACCCACCCTCCTGGTTTACTTGTGTCCAGTGTTTTAACTCTGCCCAGGTCTCTGTTTATTCTCATTGTGATTCGCTGGAGAAATGAATCAGCTGTTTTTAAAACACCTGACCCACCCACTGACGTCCATTCCATTCTGATTCGTAGTGGCTCTATGGGACTTTAGGGCTTCCTGGATTTAATTGTTGGCAGGGCAGCCAGCCTTCTCTTTCTCCAGAGGGGCAGCCGTTGGGTTGAAACCTCTGAGTTGGCACTTAGCAGCCCAACACTCACCCCACTGCACCATCAGGGCTCCTTGTTCTCGAAACCACCTCTGAAAACACAGGCGTCCAGATGCTATGAAACCACGCCAAGTCACTGGACACGCCACACAGTAAAGCGTATGGACACTGAACAGACAGGCATATATATCTCTTGATACTCAGGTAATGAAAACTGGAATTTAAAAGTGCCAAATTCTCAGCTTGGTAAACAAGGAACAGCTACATGGAAAGCTTATAAATGAAATTTCCCACAAATGTGGACCAAAATGACGAGGGTAGTTTCGGGCAACTTCAATATAACACCATCCTAGACTCACCAAACCCACCGCCATCGAGTCGATTGTAACTCCGAGTGATACTACACAAGGTTTCAAAGACTAGAAAGCTTGATGGGAGCACACAGCCTTATTCTTCTTCCCACAGAGTGGCTGGTGGCTTTGAACCTCAGACCTTGCAGTTAGCAGCCTACCAGGGTGACTCAAAGTGCACAGCCCTTGTACACGTCACCTGATGTTATGGAGGTGGAAGGGCATTGTCACAGCAGAAAGTGTGGGTGACAGACACCAGGAAGCAGTGGCGGGGAGCAAGCCTCCATGACTGCAGAGCCCACAGGAAAAAGGGCAGATCCCGACCTTGGGAATTTAATCTAGAAAGACAGGGAAGTGACTAGCATCCAAGTAGCTGTTAGTTTACTATGATAAATACAGGTGTGGTAGAAAGCACACTGGGGTGCCAGGGACAGGGGACGTCAGAACCAGCGTGGTTGGAAAGCTCGGGGCAGTCTGCCGTGTCCAGAAGAAAAAGCAAGCAAACACACAGGACGTTTTCATTCATCGACATTCTCCGACCTGCCCTAATGAGGAATGCTCTGCTGCCAATCTATGACACCTTTGTTTTCAATTTTAGAAACAAGAATGCATCCTCTTTTAAAAGGCTAAAACAAAGGAGTGGAAAACGACATGTCAAGTGCTTGCCAGAAATGACTTTTTATATGACTCTACGGCTGAAACTGATTGATAATGGTGTCACGAAGTGAACTGGGTCCCTCCGCTCCCAAATCCAAGGGGCTTCCAAAGATTCATGGAACTATCCAATGGCAAGATCATGTGGCAACTTGGCTGGGCTGTGATTTTCATCATGTGGTTTAGTAGTTACATCAATCATGTAAAGATGTCATCAGCCCCAAGCTGTGATCTGATGTGATCATCCTCGGGAGATTTGGGTGGGCTACAACACTCATCAGGTCACAGCCCCGATCAGATGTCAGGAGAGGTTCCCTGGGATCTTACAAGACATGAATGGAGAGAGAAGTGATTAGAGAGGGAAGGACCGCATTTCCACACCAAGAAAGAAGAGGTGGGAGCCGAGCACATCCTTTGAATCTAGGGTCGCTGTACTAGGAAACTCCTAATCCTAAGGCACACAAGGATTGCCAAGAGATGTCAAACCAACAAATGTCGAAAGGATACAAGAACTCTACCCTAAAGCCCACAGGGAGGCCCTGCACTCGCACATCAAGCCTGCAGAAGGTGACAGAATCATTTATTGAAGCCACCCTCTTGTGTCATTTCTGTCAGAGAAGCACTAAATATCTAGGACAGATGGTAACTCATTTAAAAATAAACATTGCCTTAAAATTCTTAAGAGGGACAACCAAGGCGTGACATGCCATCCAAGATGGTCAATGTGTTTCATGAGCACCAATTTCAGCAACATTTTAGTACAGTGTTAGCCATGAAACAAAATGTCGTCATGTATTCTGGTGAAACATCATCACTGGTCTCAAACCACACAGAGGAACATACGGGCATTCTAGGTTTTTCTTCCTGTAGAGAAATCTACTCGCATTCCTTCTGCATAGAAACGAGAAAACCTACTACCCGTAAGTGGATTGACTCCTAACGACTCTGTAAGGCAACGCGCTGCTGCTCCTTGGGGTTCCTGCAATTCTCTTTATGGAGCAGACAGCCTGTTTCCCCTGTAGAGTGCAGGTGGGCTTTTATGACCCAGCTTGCCTTTGGCAACCCAATGCTTAACCCACTGTGCCAACAGGGCTCGTCAGCAAGATGAGGAAGAGAGAAACGGTTTTTGCATTTTGGGGTTTTTTGGTTTGTTTGCTTGTTGTGTTTCTGTTCGTTTTTGCATTTTAAAGCAAGTGTTTAAGGACAAGGGGTTTCTAGAGCTCTGGCAGCCCAAAGAAAACATTTGCTCTTTGGTCACTAATTGCATGCCACAGGTCCAATTCTATAGCTGAAGCCAGATATACCATTTCTTAATCATGTCCCATCAAAACCAAGCACTACTACTCTTTAAAAAAAAACACACAAAAAAACAACAACTGTTCTTTCAATGTCAAATACCCTAGAAGCTGACACTTCCATTTAGAGGGTTATACATGTTACCCCGTAGGGACTGAACCAAATGTATTTATATTATATACATAGGTGTTCTTTAATTTGTTATTAATAGTTGAGACTTAATACATATATCATATCAGAGGTGTTTTCTTATGTCTTCTCTGAAATGTGATACAGCATTGTACAATGCTTTTCAACATGGCAGTTAATGGTGAAGAAAACTCTCAGAGGGGAAAAAAAAAAAAAACCCATCAAGCTGAAAAATCTACAACTACACCTATTTTCTGGTAAGAAAATAGACATGCAGATTTTCTCAACAAAACACCCAGCCTAAGCCCCGACGTCAAACATGGGTCGAGACATCACTGGAGAAATGTCCTCTCTTTTTCTTTCTGAGGGCAGTAGCAGTCCTTTCAACTAAGTCAATGTGGCCCTCGTTGGCACATTAGCAACAGCACTGCTAGCTTCACATACTGACCGGCCTTCTGGCCAGACTAAGCCGGAAGAGGAAGTCACCAAATGAACCAGAACCCATTTGGAGCCCTAACCTGACAACTCTCACTCTTCTTCCTCAACCTGCGAAGACAGCCAGAGGACAGATACTAGGTATGAGCCTTGAGGTTGCTTATGTCGGTTCAATTTCCCTTTTATTGAATTCTTGATAACAGAGATAGGGTGAGCAGGGTGAGGAGGGGTATCGGGAAGGTCAGTAATGGATGTTTCCTGAGATTTCTAATTGGGCTCCACTTGTCCCTTGGTTGAGTTGTTCTCCGGCCGTGGTTTCCTTATCCTGTTCTTCTTTCCGAGGGGAGCAAGTTCTCTAGACTCCTACAATAGGGCTGGGCATTTTGGTCGCTGCGTTTCCGGAAGGTCTGGAGGCACGGTTTACCAGACACGTTGAGGAAACGACTCTAGCAACAGTAGCCCTTGGCGGTGAAGGGATGGCCGGCTGTGTGGCACTGTGAAGAATGCTCTCACTTAACAATGCCCCCGAGCTTTCACTGGAATTGATTTGGGGCATGGCAGTGCCTGTAACTGGAATGCTGGCCACTGGTGCTGCTGTTAGAATGGGGGCAGGGCTGCTCCTGCCCAGAGAGCTGCCTGTCAGTGGGCTGGTCTTCACAGCACTGGAAGGTGAAGGTGCAGACAAGCCACCACCATTGTCCACAGACAGGTCACGACTGCTGTCGTTCACAGCTGCCAACTGGACGCTTTCTGTGCACAGCCTTTTCTTTTTCTGAAGCACGTGGTTTGGGAAGAGCTGATGGAGTTCTTTCCTCCGGAGGTGCACTGCATCGATTTTCATGTCCATCTCAAACAGCTTGCTGTTGATGGCTTGCCTGTAGATCGTGTCAGTGAAAGACTGAATATCATAGGTGAGGTCGATGCTGAGCGTCTCAGAGTTCTCCGGTTTCTTCAACACTAATCCAATCACCCACATTGTACAGAACTCATCCTTGCTGGGCTTGTCTTTCGGTGCGGGAAACGACTGGGGGTTCACGTGGGCCAGGGTAATAAACTCATTCTTCTCCAAGCTCCCAACTAGAATCCGGATTTTTGATTCCACCAAGCCCACCCATTCTAGATGCTGTTTCTCTGTTGGTGCGCTTGCGAGAAGTACAATATAATGCTTGTACTTTTGAAAGAAGTTTGGGGCTTCGAACAGTTTGGACCACTCTGCCTTACTCAGCAAGATTTCATGCGTGATGGCAAGCCCTTGCTTAAACGCCTCAATCATGACCATCCGGGTGGAAACGGACACATTGTACGTGGAGTTCTGCTGGGGATAGGCTGGTGTGATGATGGGCATCAGATGGTACCTATCACTGGGGTTGACCCGAGGGTCCCACACCGGCAAATTCAGATTCCGCTCCTCGGGCTCTTTCAAGAGCACTGGATTGGGCCACTCCCATTCGGAAAACACCAAGAAAAATTTACGGACAAGAGTTGATGCTACTGCATTTGGATAAAGCTGGCAAGTCCTTGCTACTAGCATCGCCCAGGAAACACCTCCGAGAAAGCCGAGTATATTAGAATAGATATTGTGGCATTTGGCCCACAGTTTGATAGCTCTGAGAGTTAACCGAAAGTTGTCAATGTTCGGTACCAAGTGTAAAATTTCATCGGTTACCCGGCAACCGTTAAGGCTTCGTATGCACCTAATATCTAAATTTTTTAGCAGACTGTCATCTCTCAGGTCCAAATCTTCTGGAATCGTCTGCAGTGCTAATCTTGCAAACAAAATATCTATCTCTATCCCATCAAAACACAGTTTGATAACTGGTACAAATGCCTCTTCAACTGCCCTTAAATCTTTTACTTCTTCGTGCAGTTTCAATTTGTCGTAGAATGAGGTGAAAAAGTCGCCCCGGTCAATGTGCCTCGGTGCAACACACAGCGCGTCAATATCGGCCCCTTTGGTGTGGACGCCTAGTCTGTACGACCCGAAGGTGAAGATCTTCCCTCCCACGCTTCCGATGACAGACTGTGGGAGCTCCTTGCTCTCGCTGATTTCGCGTATCCACTCCTTTACCAGGTTATTTAATTTTTCCAAAATTAAAATCCTGCGCTGCAGTTCCTCTTCCTCTTCAAAGACCCCAAAGGGCTTCAGGGTTTCTGTTAACTTCTGCGTAAGTAGGCAGTCCGTCTCCACGGGGGGGTCTAAATTGATGGGGGAGGAGAGGCCGCCGAGCTTCTGAGGCGGCGGTGTCTGGGGCGGGCCCTGGGTGCTGACTGCAACCGGCATCATCGCTGGCGCTGGCCCCGCCAGGGCGCTGCCGCCCCCACCGCGAGCCCCGCGGCGGCCGCCCGGG